GAGCGACTTTAATTTTTGTTGATAAGTCATTTCAAACCGACCAACCCAATTTAACCCGACCGATACTTGATTGGGTTGGGTTGGGTTGGGTTAAATTTTGATCAAACCGATCATGTTGGGTTGGATTTGGATTGAGGTAAAAATCGATCCAACCCAACCCATGCCCAACCCTAAGTGGAAGGATGGCGGATAACATTTATCCACAAAATAATGTTACGTTGATTGTAGTGATAGAAAAACTTAAATAAGACTAATGACACTTGAATATTATCCAGACGGAAGCTGATAACAGTACTCTTATGGTAAAAAGTGACGATTAATTTTAACTTTGAAAGGCTGGCAAAAAATGACATTAGTGTGACATCAGTGTCGAGTCCCAAGAATCCACATGTACNAAATGCACTTTGTTCTTTGTAAGCTTGACTAATGAGGATTGAATTAGATAATTTTATTTATTTATTTATTTACTTACTATTTAATCTTGTCTATTCGAATTTAGTATAATAGAAAATTGGTTGACTTTAATTTTTGTTGACAAGTCGTCTCAAACCGACTAATCCAACCCGACCCGACTCGACCAATACTTGATTGGATTGGCTTTCAACATTTATACAGGCTGAGTTGGATTAAATTTTGATCAAACCAATCATGTTGGGTTGGATTTGGATTGAGGTAAAAATCGATCCAACCCAACCCATGCCCAACCCTAAGTGGAAGGATGGCGGATAACATTTATCCACAAATTAATGTTACGTTGATTGTAGTGATAGAAAAACTTAAATAAGACTAATGACACTTGAATATTATCCAGACGGAAGCTGATAACAGTGCTCTTTTGGTAAAAAGTGACGATTAATTTTAACTTTGAAAGGCTGGCAAAAAATGACATTAGTGTGACATCAGTTTCGAGTCCCAAGAATCCACATGTACCAAAATAAATACTAAACAATGACTTAGGTCATTGATTTTCAAATCATTATTTCCTCGAGATTGATGCACTTGGTAATGGTGGGTTGTTGTATTTAGTTGTACTCAAATCTCGAGCTTTCATTGGTCTTTGTGGAACACATTTTGAAATCCCTTCATATCTACCTAATGTACGGTTCACAATTAGTCACGTACAAAGAATAACATACAAGGTGAAGAATTGATAATAAATAATTATATTGGAATATACAGAGTTTTAAAATTGACGAGGATCAATTGTGTTAATCATCATACATATTAAAATGCTTTAAGTCGTTAGACTACATTACATGTATATGTGTGTATTTGTTGATGTTCTATGTACTGCACAATTGTTTTACTAACGAAAGTGACAAGACTTGAGTTGATGAGATTTTTTAGTAGACTCCCAAGATTTTTTAGATTGTTAAATTAAGTCCACCAACATGGCATGTCAAGTTATTTTGATTTTATATTAAAAAAATGATTGTTACAGTTACAGGTTGAGCATGCCTTGGCATAACTTTATAATTTGCAATAATTATGTTATCATAATTATCATCAACATCAGCAATAATAATCTTCTATTTTTTTTATTATTATTTTTGGTTACGTTCTGCCTATGATGCGGGCCATGTGACATTCGGCTAAGTAAGGTGCCACGTAAGAATAGCACTCCACTTTGTATCGTCTCTTCCACACGCTTCTTCGACACGATTAGGCTATGCCTCGTTTAGAATATTATCGGTATTCGAGGCGATGCATCACTCCTTCACCGTAATATATATTCGTGACTCTGTATATGCTACAAAGAGCTTCTACCATCAGCCTAGTCTCAACCAAGTTGCTCAATCTGCAGCAGTGACACTCAATCAGTTCACAACTTTTCAGCATATGAGTCATGTTACACTTACCTAAAAATTTTACCTACTATTCACAATAGGGAGTGGGGACCACATTTTGGAATTTTTATATTCACATGGGGCTGCGTGCATTGTGAGAGTAGGTAAAACATTTGGTAGCCAAAATTCGGTACAAATTGTCTAATTCTTCAGCATATATACAGGCTAAGGAAACCACCGGCCAATAATGGCTAGGATAAATTTGTTTGTACACCAGATGTACATACACCTGTCTCACATGAATAGTGTGCGCGAATATTTTATTGTGTGTGGGACCCCCTCCATGTGAGGGGGTATAAAAAATTGTGTGAATGATTATGTACATGTAGCATGATTGTAATGGCTATGTATTAACACAATTGAACATGACAAGTAAGCGAATAGAATGAGATCATGTATCAAGTATCCAAAGTGTGCCTCTTCTACCTGGCCCCACATAAATACTCGATCCTCTCTCATTCAAAAATATTATCACGCAATTACAAACTTCATACAAGGGTAATCTAAAATCCGACACCCATATTTTCATCCATTATGTCTTTTCCACACTCAATATATGACTTGAGCGTATGAGTGCATGTGACTGTAGCACTCTCTCCTCGTCGAAGCTATGGTTTATACAATATAACATGACTATCCAAGTGCTCGTGTAACATACATGTGGATGGGATACGACGTAGGATCCCTTGACAATTGGATCTCACCGATTTGGAGGTCAACATTTTTTTTCCTATTTTGTAGAAACTAGATTGTGACATTATCTTGCAGTTTATTAAAACTGGATTGAAAAAATAGAAAAAGCAAAAAAAGACAGCTCAACCTGTGGGACAATGAAGTCTGTCCAAATGTAGTACCTGCACCATAATCCAACTAAGAGTGTGAGTGTTGAGCCATTCAAACCATGTCTCAATTTTTGTTTTCTTGGTATTAATAGCAGAATTCCGTGACGACGGTTCACAAGCTAAATTGAAAAATGCAAGTACAGTGCAGTGCAGGATGAGTATCCAATGGTTTATTTGGGCCTGAGAATGAATATTGTCTATTTGTCTTCATCTTCAAGGAAAGCCAAACATGACATACAGGTTTAGCCATGCTGACCATTTAGTTGTTGCAATGGAAAGTGGGATCTGAAGGTACATTACAGGCTGGGCCATCCATTTTGTTGTGGTCCAAAAGTAATGGATTTCGGGTTTCAATGAAGGGGTGACTTGCTACAAGATCCAAGTTTATTTTTTTTTAAAGTGCTTATGAGCTATAATTCTTACGAAATGTGTGAATAATAATTAATAAGAACAAGACCATCTGCCTGACTAACCATAACAGCCCGAAAGGTCAAGACAGAAAAGAAAACAGCAGCAGACATAATAATTCTGCCGTATTTTGGCACCCATTAATTATACACACAAATTAGGACCTTATTGAGAAGTTTAAGGACTTAATTGTGTATTTCTCATTTTCCTAGGCACTTTTTCTTTCGGGATTCAATGAGGGGGTGGCTTGCTACAAGATCCCTCGATTAGCGAAGTCTAATTTTTTTTTAAGTGCTTATGAGCCATAATTCTTACGAAATGTGTGAATAATAATTAATAAGAATAAGACCATTTGCCCGACTAACCATAACAGCAGACACAATAATTCTGCCGTATTTTGGCACCCATTAATTATACACACAAATTAGCACCTTATTGAGAAGTTTAAGGACTTAATTGTATATTTCTCATTTTCCTAGGCACTTTTTCTCGTGCAGAAAATATTCATATAGCTAGGAAAATAATAGTAATGGAGTTTGAGGCTTAAATGGTTAAGTTGAGCCATAACTCGAGGACTAAACTGTAAGTTCTAAAATTATTGGGAAATGATAGGTTTTATGTACAAATAATATTAAATTTGGGCTTTGTGTGAAGTTTGGATGAGTTAGGCTAAATTAGGCCAAGTACCCTAAATAATTAAGTAATTTGATTAATACCCTAATAATTAATTAAACAATTTAACATTGTAATTAATAGGGTATAAAATCTCCAAACCCCCAATATATCATTCATATATAAACAGATGTGCAATTAAATAGAGGTGCAATTAAGATTTCTTGGATAATAAGATGGGGGTGATAAATAGAGGTGCAATTAAGATTGACAAATCCAAACTCAATATATGGAAGTTCCCATCAGAAGCGGGTATGCTCTTCTTCACTAACAGTTTTAAGAACAAGTATGTAACTTCCATATGCTTTAATTAGCTTTTTGAGTGAATTTTTTTCGACTTACATTGCTTAATAATTCATGGCAA